AATGTAAATTCAGTCTAACTGCTTGCTAATTTCACTTGGATGAAATGAAACATTCAGCACATTTTCCACTTGCTCTTAAAATCCCAAATACTTAAAATGAATAAATCAGCCTATGTAACATATGTAATACTTTAATAATTGACTTAATAAATACAGTTCTTTATTTACAAAAAATAAACAAATATTTTCTGTGAAATTAAGTTAATTCTGTAAAAGTAGTTATAATCTTTATATTATAATATAGTCATTATAATCTTGCCTGCTGAAGAAAAAAACAATAGAACCCCTCCCAAAACACAATAAAAATGTAATGGATTTCAGGGTTGTAATGGGAATATTATTGGTTTTAATGTAAACTATAATGGTGTCTATTTGATGGATTCTATTGGTGGGATGTAATCTGGCAGATGGCAACCAATAGGACAACAGTAATTCCCGTAATAATGCCCAAAACAAAAATGAATTTTGTAATGGTTTAATGGAAACTATAAGAATTTCTGTGATGGTTTCTATAGTTTTTTTCAGCAGGGTAATGATACCCATACTGTGCTGCACATTATTGACAATATTGAGCTGAAGCTTGACTTTGCAAATTTAAAATCGCACATCAAATCGCAATCGCAATATCTGTCAAAAAAATTGCAATTTGATATTTCCCCCAAATCGCACAGCCCTACTTGATATGACAAAAATATAGACAGCTGCATTTCATTGGCTGTCTTTGATTTTCAAACCATTTGACTTTTATTTGCTTACGTTCAAATTTGAATTTTTTAAATGCTCTGTTGGTTCAGTTCTGCTATATATGAGTATTTTGTGCACTGACAATACTAGTTCTTCTAGTTCAGGACGTGACCCACAAACAGGACTTATGGACGTCATTTAATTTCAATTACCCCAGATTACTGATGAGACTCAAACCTGCGCAGACACAAAAGCGTTTGCTGAACGACAAATCTGACGTGTGACAACAGACTGTGTGTGTACGAGTGTATATATACAGTCAAACCAAATATTATTCAGACAGCAGATATAATTGTTGATATTTTTCTACTAGTGTGTGCAGGACACTATAGTTCATTAATGTAAGTGAGGAGAGCAAAATAAAGTAAACTGTGACACATTATACCCAGAAACTCTTCATGCCGTGTACTACCGAATCAGAAATGATTCAGACACTTTGACCTGAGCATGTTTTGCTGAAGTTATACTCTTTAATTGCTAATGCGATCTTTTTACACCACAGACTGAACTAAATGAAGCACTGCTTGGTAATTAATTTATCTAAATTGGTTTTATCTAATTGTGTATTAAATTTAACAGCTGACAGCTATTCAACCGAAGTCATTGCATACCTTTCTATCAAAGTTATCTGACATTATACAATAATATACACAATATGCACATAATATACAGTACCTGTACAAAAAAAAAAAATATATATATATATATACCTTGTAATATACCTGCACACACAATTGTCAATTATATGTTTCTATTCCTTATCTACTTGTTCTATTTTTATTTTTATTATCTGTGTTTTTTGTTCTGTCACTGTCATTCTGTTACACTGTGGAAGCTTCTGTCATGAAAACAAATTCCTCGTATATGTAAACATACCTGGCAATAAAGCTCATTCTGATTCTGATTCTGATTATCAAGATGAATTTGTTCTGACACACTTTAACTCTGAGCTCTTCTCATATTTTATTACCGTTTTATAAACTATAAACTGTGATAATGTGAGAAATGCTGAAGGTGTCTGAATAAATTTTGGTTTGTCTGTGTGAGTGAGTGTGTGTGTGAGTGTGTGTGTGTGTGTGTGTGTGTAAGTGAGAGTGTGTGTGAGTGAGTGAGTG